TTTAATCAACAATCCAGAAGTTTTCACCAGAATGATCTTGTTCATCTTAGACCATTGCTATTAGTTATGCAGTCAGTGTTTCACTTTACTTTCCAGCAGAATTAAATAAAATTCAGAATAAAGACCTGATCTTAATTTGCCTTTTCTAAAATTTCTTCCAGAAATAAAAAATGATAAGCACTGTTGCAACATATATAACTTAGTTTTTTTTATTAAAATAATTTTATTTCAAGCTGGGCATACAGCTCAGTGGTAGAGCATTTGCCCAGGATATATGAAGCCCTGGGTCCTGGGTTCAATACCCAGCACTGCAAAAACATAGTTGCATATCAAGAAAAACTTCTATGTAGTATAACCTTATGGTCAAAGACATGGATTGTGAGAAGACAAAGGAAATTAAGTCACTGTACACCATTTGGCAATGATGTGATAGTAGGCTTCCTGAAAAAGTTGAGATTAATATATATACATACATCTATATATACTTATTATTAACATAGCAACTAGTATATAAGAAGCAATCAACTAATTTTGACTATTTTTACTTAAAATAATAGTAATAGAAGTCTATAAGAATTCAGGTTAATATTTTCTTACACAGGAGAGTTAAAATCAAACTTATACCTTTTAGAAGTAACAACTTTGAGGAACAAAATTATGAGGGCTACCATGGAGTTCATACTAAAATTTACTAAGAAGTCTTACAGTGACTCTGTGTCTCTTCCAAAGGTTTCTCCTATTGATTTGGTACAGGTCAAAATTTAAAAGCCGGGTGGTGCCTTTTCTGTCTTATCAGGGAAAAGAGCTGCTGTCAATGCCACATAAACCTTCAGAATACCAGCACCCATCCATCCAGCAAGTAGACTGAAGGCAGCAATTTGCTTCGGTAGAAATAAATGGGATAGATCATGTTAATATGGATGCCACCAATTTCTTAATTCCTCTGATTATTGTTCTGAAAAGCAACATTCTGAATAGCAAGCCAAAGCTACACAGAAGGATAATGAACAGTGCATGTGGGTATATACTGCAGTCCGTTGGCAGGAAAAAAATAAAAATATCTCCTTCATAAAACATTACAATTTCTTTTTTAAAAAATCTGTGCATCACATTTTGCAAAAGGAAAACTTTCAATAAGTATTTAATCAAATCAGGCAAATAGTTTATCAGCTTGAGCTCTTGCTCACATTCTCTTGCCCACATTTTATATGTAACTCCTCTGATTGGCTCAAGGGTCAATCCTAACAGACAAACAAATCTCTTCCTATGAGAAGACATGGCAAGGAACAGCCATTTTGGTTGTAGGGACCATGAGGTTTACTTTCTGGATCCAGGACTCTGGGCCATAAGTTACCAACCCAACTCAAACTCATTTAAGTAAAAAAGATAACTTATTGAAGACATTACTTGGTATCTCTTAGATTAGAGGCAGAGGTAAAAACCAGATATTCAAAAAGGATCCAGATGTAACTAAGCATACAGAAATCTTGGCAGCAGAGTCACACTCACAATACAAAAACTCTCTTTCTTAACTTCTCCCTAAATAGTGTCTCCCTAAATAGTGACTTCCTTCTTTATTATCACTGCAGATTGGCTTTTTCCAAATGACCAAAAATATGACTGCCCTTGATATCATAGTCTTATATCTTAAGGCTTTAACTACTCAGAGAAAGACTGACCTTTTCAGTTTGAGTCCCAAAATCCTGGAGAAAAACTCTAATAGGTCTAGCTTGAATTAAATTAAATGAAATAAAGAAATAGAGTACCATTTGGATCCATTTGAGTAAGGTGTCCAGTCAACCTGTACCTATAAGCTGTGTCATATTGTAATAATATGTTGGTTCCAGTGGTTTTTTTAAAAAACTGGGCATGGCAGTTCTCCACAGACCTGGTGCTGGCCCCACCAACTATTCCATAGATGACTGCTGTCGCATGGATATACTTTGAAAACAATGCAAAGAAAAGATGGTTCTCACTTCCCATTTGATAGCAAAGGCTGCCTACAGTCCCTGAGAATTTCCAGTTAAAACTGTTCATTTGCTGTTGGAAAGCTCAGGGTAGTGGAACAGGGGGTGGTGGTGATTGCACATGAAAGGAGCCAAGCAGAGAGAAGGGAAGGAGGGCACGTCAACGAAGCATCGCCAACATGAAGCAGAGGGCTCTGGACCTCCCAGCTCTTTTCAGATTAAATCCTCATGCTTCTTCCAGCTGCCTCTCTCTTCTCTCCTGCCTTACACCTCTTTTTAATATTTTCTCCCATCACTTTTAAAATGAAGTCCTTCTGTGTTACTTACAAGACTTCAGTCGTCTTCCAGAGAAGCAGTGCTGTACTTGAGGCAGAAATCTGAAGTAAGGCAGAGTTTGTCCCTCTAGAAAAGTACTTGCCTGTGTCTTCTTGTTCTTTTTCTTAGAATAAAAGAATAGACCAATCATGGAGACCACTGAGTCCTTCCACTGCTGTGTACATCCCATCTATAGCATCCCATTGCAAGTGGTCATCCAGGGATGCTTGCACATGCCAAATTGTAACTGCACTTTTAGGAAAGCCCATTCTATTTTTAGATAGTTCTAACTATTAGAGATACTACTTCTTTAAGCTCCAACTGGCCAAAAATCTGTCTTTTCTTGTTGCTTCCACCTGTTGGTCCCAGACCTACCACCTGGAAACAAACAGAAAGGTCTAATATATTTCCTACATGCTTGCCTTTCAAGAGATCCATCATGTTCATCACATTACCCCATAAAGCTGTTCTTCTCCAGGCTAACCAACTTTTCTACCTATAACTGTTATCTATCATATAGAATTTCAAGTCCCTTTATTAACCTGAACATTATTTTAAAAGCTTTACTTACTTTTAGGTTTCTCTTCATTTTTCCCACATAACCAGGCATAATTTTTCAGATGTGGAAAGATCAGCACAAAAAGAACCAAACTAATAACTTCTTCTATTAGAGATATAGACTGTCTACCAGAAAATCACATTTATCTTTTGGGAAGATCAAATCTATGCTTAGTCACTCTCATACTGAAAATTTTAAAATAATTAATTTATAATGAAATTTAGATGATAAAGAGGATTTAAATTTGACAAGTGTCTTGAGTAAATAAGTGTAGACGTGAGAATTTCAGGCATTGGTAGTTAAAATTGGAGTGGATGGGGGTGGGGCAATTCATGAACTCCCAAACTCCTTCAAATCATATGTCTGTGTTGCTTGCTATCATAATACTAACATGATCCATTAAATCAAAATAATGGGCAGATGTCAGCTTGGTAGCACATGCCTATAATCTCAGCAACTCAGGAGGCTGAGGCATGAATATCATGAGTTCTAAACCAGCCTCATTAACTTAGCAAGGCCCTAAGCAACTTAGCAAGACCCTGTCTCAAAATAAAAAATAAAAAGGGGGCTGGCCAACCTAGATGCCCTTCAGTAGATAAATGGATAAAAAAATGTGGCATATATACACAATAGAATTTTACTCAGCAATAAAAGAGAATAAAAATCATGGCATTTGCAGGTAAATGGATGGCTTTGGAGAAGATAATGCTAAATGAAGTTAGCCAATCCCCCCCCCCAAAAAAATGCTAAAGGTTTTCTCTGATATAAGGAAGCTGATTCATAGTGGAGTAAGGAGGGGGAGCATTGGAGGAATAGACAAACTCTAGATAGGGCAGAGGGCTGGGAGGGAAATGGAGGGGCCAGGGGTTAGCAAGGATGGTGGAATGCGAGAGACATCATTATCCAAAGTACATGTATGAAGACATGGATTGGTATCAACATACTTTATATACAACTAGAGATATGAAAAATTGTGCTGTATATGTGTAATAAGAATTGTGATGTATTCTGATGTCATTTATTTGTTTTAAAATATCAATAAAAAAGGGGGAGCTGGAGTTATGGCTCAGTGGTAGAGAGTGCTTGCCTGGCATGTGTGAGGCCCTGGGTTCAATCCTCAGCATGCATATAAATAAATTAAATAAAAGACCTATTAACAACTAATTTTTTTAATTAAAAATAAATAAATAAATAATAAAAATGGCTGGAGATGTGGCTCAGTATTTAAGTGCCCCTTAGTTTAATCCCCAGGACCAATTAAAAAACAAAAGTGGCCCTATCTGTAGTCACTTATGGACTTGTCAGGATAGCTGATTACCTCAGAAAACAATGCAGAATATTCTATTTAAATATTTTCAAGTTTAAAATTAAGATATGGCATGTGTATGAAGATTCCTGGGCAGAGAAATTTAAAATTTTGAATCCTAAAATCTAATAAGAAACAAGTTGTGACTTTTTAAAAATCCAGTCATAAGCATATACCACTCATTGTAGTTTTCCCCTTTCTTTTATAAAGGTCTGAATCTATGTCCTTGGACCCCTCAACATTCTTAATGATAGCTGGCCTGCATCCTACTAGACTGTATAACAGCAAGGGAGTTTGAAAATTCTAACTGCCCTTCCTGAAATTCTTCTACTTCCATTATGAAGTAGAAAAAATAATGACTAATTCAGAAGAGGACTGGAAGCACTAGTACCATAGACCCATAAACACAGAGCTTGTTATTAAAACTAAAATTGAAGATTTCATTACCTTGTTAGCCTCAAAAAAGTTCAGTCTAGTGAATTTAGGAGTAGCCCTAACCTCACTGAATTATCAGAAGGGAAGAAATGCAAGACTGTTGACAGCTTGAAGCTACCCACCATACAACTGAGAAGATAAATTAATTCAAGATTCTTTAAAGTGAGAAGGGCCAATTTCATCTTGAAGGTATAACTCATGGTCATATTTAGCAATTTACTTAAGTGATTCCAGTCTCAGTGTCATTTATTCATTCTCTCAATATTGTAATGCTAGGAAACACAGAATTCATATCTTTAGAATTAAAACAAAGGAAATTTTCATGATTGGTAAATAATTAGGAAGACTTTATGATTTAACGGTGGAATTACCTATTTTCTAATTCCCTTATTTATATTAATTTTTTTTTCTCTAACAGGTTGTTTGGTTTTTACAAGGGAATTCTGCCACCCATCTTAGCTGAAACACCAAAAAGAGCAGTGAAGGTAAGCATGGTATGCCTTCCCACCAAGTGAAAATAAGGTGTAGTAACAGCCTCAGCATTAAAATATCCCACAATAAACAAGGGGAAAGTAATATGACTTAAACATAAAACACTAAAATCTTTAATGCAGAAATTATAGCACAATGTTTATTATAATTAAATTTGATCAATCTCTCAAATATATGTATCAGTTTGTAGATTTTTTTCAGGTAAATGTACTCCCTTCTAATGAGGAAATTATGCAAAGGACACAGTGGTGAATGAAATTCATGTAATCAAACCACAGAAACCACAAAATAGCTTGGGCCTTTTCTCAAAGCAATTCAGACATTTTCCTTTGGAGCAGAAATTATTAAAGAAAGAGAAGTAGAAAAACCTTCTTCCCCAAATCATTCTCATCTTATAAAATAGACTATATTTCTTTGTATATGATTCTTCTGGCATGTCAGCTTTATTTTTACCTTTAGTCTCCTCTTAAAGTTCTCCATTCTGGTACTTATAAAATGATTATTTCCACTGCCCAGACTTCCATTTCTTTAATCACTTAACTGTGGAGGTTTATGTACTATTTCCAGTTGAATATCTGATTAGTAGCAGAGAGATGTGCCAGAGGCTCCTAGGATTAAAAAACTATAGCTGCATTTTTTTATATGTTCTCTCAGACAAAAATTCTGATTACAGTGACTGACTGGCATTGCTCCCTTACCCCCAGCACTGACATCACCAAATAGGGCTTTGTCTTTCAACAAAAATAACATATACAGATATATTTCCAACTTTGTGTCATTTACCTTAATGACATAAAGATTTTTCACATTCCCAATTTATATTCCCAATATTCCTGAAAGGCAAGAAGGAACATCTTAAAAACTTTTAATGAATAAGTGGAGGGAATTACTGTGTTAAAAATTATTATGAAATAACTAAACATATATACACAAACATCAAACTTTTACATTATGTTAAAATAGTAATTTGGCAGAATTTAATTTGGGTAGAGAATTCAGAAACAAACCTTTAAAACATACTTTCTCTATAAATTTTTCCTCTTTGTTGCTATAGTTTTGTGATTTTATATTATTACTTCAATACAAATTTCATTATAAGGATCTGAATTGCAATACAGAATCTGGAAAAAGTTCACCAAAGTACACAAAAGAGCTGAATTGAATTATGAAATGGCTTCACTTGATAAAAGATTGCCCAAGTAAACAAACAGAGCAGAGTTCCTGTTCAAAAAGAAAGTCACTTTGTCTCCATGAAATAATATATTCATGTGTTCAGTATTTTGCATGTATAAATAAAGTACATTATAATTAGAGATTTTCCTGGAATATTTTTAATACCATATATTAAAGAAAATTTAAACTTTAAGAAGATTAAAGTTTATCAACACTGAGCAATCTTTCACAAGGAAAAACGAAAAGTTAAGCTTTACAAAACTGAGTTAGTCTGTACTTTAAAAAAAAATAAAAATAAAAAAGAAGCAGTGCTTCATGCCAGAACAATGGTTAACAGATGAACTTTTGGGCAACTGGATATAGTGTATGTGTCCCAGACATCTTGTTTCAAGCAGATTTTACCTTAAAATTATTGAGACATATGGTAAGTCCGTTGGCTTTTTAAGTATAACTTGGAGTTAAGTGTATCTTTGCCAGATGGATAGCACTAGTTTTTTCAACACAATTTATAAAAACATTCATTTTATAGATATTTATCTTAGGATTTGTGAGGAAAGCAATCACTTGATTGTAGTAATTTCATACATCATAAACTGCATCATTGTATGTCATCAAAGTTTACTTCAGAAAAAAAAAAATATTCTGATACTCTGTGTGTGTATGTGTCCATACATGCATGCACTGTTTTGTATTTATTCTTCGGTGTGGACACTTTAGTTGCAGTTGGTACCATAATCAAAAACAGACTATTTTAAGTTTGTAATTTATTCTTTGAAATTATATTTATCATTAAAATAATAAGACTCACTGATGCTAAATAAGTGAAACTTTCCCATTCTCAAATTAATATGTAATTAGTATTGCAATTAGAAAAGGGAAATGAAAATCTCAGAAGAAAACAACTGATCTCAGAGATAGGAGAAGTATGTTCCAGTTCCAGGGTTTAGTCTTTAACTTCACAGGTCCATAAATACCATTTTTCCATGTTCAGATTTTCAAGGACTACTTTATATTAACCAAACTCATATTATTAGATATTATGAATTATGAAGGCTATTTGCTCACTATAATATACCTACACTTATGATGTCTACACATAGTAGATATTCAATTGAATGAATTAAACAGAGAAAGAAACAAAGAAAATTTGTAGAAAGAAGTCTAGAGAGAGAGAGAGAGAGAGAGAATTTGTTTACCCAAATCTCCATATCAACTCTTCTGTGTATCTGGAGGGCCAAGACTTCTATTTCTAGTCAAGCTGGAGTTACAGAGACCAGATTTACTCTACCACCTGAAACAACAAGACAGAAATGAAAAAAAAAAAAATATATATATATATATATATATATATATATATGAAACAACAACTTTCAAAACACTGGAATCAGACAAGGAATTGTAGTAATAACTAAAACAAATGAGATGAGCCCTGTGATGACCACAGCTTAAGCCTTGAGAGTGTTTACAGGCTTAAAGATGGGAGGGAAAATAAAAGTAGAGCCCAGTGGACTCCCTGGGTGGTAAAAGAGCTGAGAGAGTGGGAAGAACAAAGGAGCTAGAGTTCACAGGACAGAGTACCAGCCAAGAGCAAGCTGTGCAGGAAGACAACTCCTAGGATTGCAGAAGGTCCCCCCTCAAGTATTCAGCTGAGTATGACCCGTGCACACCTGTAGGTACACCGCCAAGACTTGGGAAAGAACTGCACAAGAGTTTTAGAGGGACTCTGCTCAGCAGACACACAGGTCTAGGAGTAGTGCCTGTACCTGCCAGCTAAACTAGAAAGCATCAAAATTCAAAAGACATTGAAAGGATATTTAGAAGCATCGTGCCTCAGAATTAGCCCTAAATTGAGCACTACTCAGATCCCAGTTGTTAAAAGTAACACTCAAATGGTTCAAACTGCACAAACTGAAAACAAAGGGGAAAATGGAGAACTGGTTTAGCCAGGTAGAATGTACCAATGTACCCATGTCTTCTGTCCTACCACAGTGTGACACTTCTCCAGGAAGGACATGGTCAATAACTCCAGCCAGATCACCAATTTCTGCGTATTATTATAGGTTATATACAGCAAAATTAATTTTGTATTTGATGTGAGGGGATATGAATGGTTTCAAAACTCTTTAGCCATACATTTGCTTGACTTTGGTAAAAAATTTATGTTGACCTTTTGGATTTCATACCTAGAGTGCAACCTCATATTTTATATGACTGTGTACTTTTATCAGTCTATGCTTTAGCTAATATTTTGGCTGAGAAATTATTAAGAAATATCATGTCCAACAATCAATAAATGGGAAAATTAACTAAAGAAATGTGTCTCAAAAAAGAAATACAAATGGCCAACATATATGTGAAAAAAATGTTCAACATCCTTAGCAATCAGGGAATGCAAATCAAACCTCACTGGGACTTCACCTCACACCAGGTGGAATGGCAATCATTAAGAATGCAAATAATAAATGCTGGCAAGGATGCAGAGAGAAAGGAAAACTTACACACTGTTGGTGGGGTTGTAAATTACTCCAACCACTATAGAAATTAGTATGGTGATTCCTCAAAAGACTAGGCATGGAACCACCATATGACCCAGCAATACACTCCTCAGTATTTATTCTAATGAAATTAAGTCAGCACACTACAGTGATACATACATACCTGTGTGGAAAGCAATGCAATTTGCTATAACCAAGTCATGGGACCATCCTAGGTGTCCACTAACAGATGGATGGAAATGTGATGTATCTATTCACAATGGAGTTTTACTCAGTCTTAAGGAGGAATTAAATCATGACATGGGCAGGAAAATGAAGAGAACCAGAAAACATCATGCTCAGTGAAATGACCCAGACTCAAAATGTTAAGGAGCATGTTTTCTCTCATATGTGCAAGCCATAGAGACAAAAGGAATAAAAAAGGTATCTCACAAAAATAGAAAGGAGTCTGATGGAGTAAAGAAATGGGACTAGGGAGAAGGAGCAGGAGAGGAAAAGGGAGGTGTTGGGAAATGAAATCAACCAGATTATGTGATGTGCATGTACAAATATATTACAATGAATCCCACTATTCTGTGTAACTATATCATCAAAATTGAAAAAAAATAAATATCATGAAAGCCATAAAGGAGTAGTATTATATTAACAGGAATTAAAATAACAGCTGATCTATTAGTTCCTAAGGATATAAATCTAGTACAAAGTCTCCTAAGCTTTAAACATGAGACACATCCTGTAAAATATTTCTTGAACAGATAGATGGATGAATAATTGGATATTTTTAATGAACATTGATTTCAACTTACAATGAATATATTTATATTATTTTACTGTTGTTAGAAATCTATTTTTAAAAGATTTAGTTTTTCCTTTCTGGAAATATTGTTTTTATTTATTTATTTATTTTTATTTGTTCTAATTAGTTATGCATGACATCATACACAAATAGATATTGTTTTATTTTGTATCCAGACAACTATGTTTTGGTTGCAAAAGTAAAAATTAAAATGCATTTTTTTAGCTTTAAGTACTAGTTGCTTATTAGAATATGTGAGGTGTTCATTACTTTTGAATTTAGTACCTTAACAATTTATCACTGTGACCTGTAAGGCTTCTTTATTCCCAGGAACCTGAATCATTTCATCCTAGTCATTCACCAAAAGTTCCATCATGACTGCTAATGGGTGCCAATCAACTAGTCTAGCTTGGTTTTTAATAACCTTAGAGATAGGGAAATAAATGCCTAGAATTGCTCCCAGGGTGTAGACTTGGAAATCCTCACAAGGACTTTTCCCTTGACATCCCTTGGGCCCTTCATCCTTATAATGATGGAAAGCCAGAAAAAATACAAACCAACCAACAAACAAATACATCTTCACACTGGAAGCTAATAAGATAGAGGAGATTTCTGTGAGGTCATCAGAACTTCCTGTAACCCTATCCTAATGTAGGTCCCTAGTCCAGTGTTTCTAAACTATAGGTCATGACCCAGGGGACATTGATTCATTTTAGTAAATCATTAGATGCAGTGGGTCATAACCAGAAAAAATTTAAAGAAATAGAACAGAAAATAATGTATTACCATAGGAAGTAAATATTGTTTTATAGTAGTGTTTCATTTCAGTTTTAAATCTAAGACCACATGCTCTCCCTTGTGCATGTGTGCATTTGTTTGAGTGTGTGTGTGTGTGTGTTGGATAAATATTTTTATGCGTATTTTTGGTAACAAAAATTCAAAATCTTCTGCCCTATGGGACTTCGGAGCTTCCAGGTTCTGTGTGACCACCTCAGGTATAATGGAAGGCAAGAAGACCTCATCCTCAGCAGCAAGAAAACCCAAGGGCAAAATTTTTCCAAACCACTAACAATCATGGTAGCAGGGAATAAATATAATGTAGGGGTAAGAGTACTCAGAAGCTTTGGAGTTAGACTTAACTCAAGGATAAGCTCAGTCCTTTGCTTCCATATGCAATGGGACTCATGATTGTATTCTAGCCTCTTAATCTGATGGTATTGCTATATGGGTTATATAGTAGCACATGCAAAAGGTAGGTGTTAGCATGTTTCCTGGACCACAGTAGGCTCTCATGAGAAGTATACATAATTAACGCATCTATGGTTCCTTTACTAACCTAAGTGAATACAGAGAATGGAAAGTAAGCCTTTCCAAAAGTCTCCTATGTGCCAGACATGTTAGGGAATCTTACTTAAATTATCTTATTAGGGCTAGAGATGTAGCTAAGTGGTTAAGCATTTGCCTAGTATGTGTAAGGCCCTGGGTTCAATCCCCAGTAGAAACACTTAACAGGCATGCTTTGTGTTCTTGAGGGTTAGAAAGGTTAAACAACTTGCCCATGCTTTCAAGCTAAGTGGCACACCTGGAATGCAGACCCAGCATTGCTTACCTTCCAGCAAAGTGATTGTCAAAGCATAGCGATGAGGTGATCACAAAATGGAGGAAAAATAAATTATATTTAAAACCTAAGGTGATAACCCTTTTCCTCCCATAGTTTATGATTGATTTCTAGTGTGAATCTCATCCAACAGTGGTCTCCATTAATGCTATCTAACACCAGTATAGTTTCAGGGTTATCACCATCTCCTAGAGCATGATATCAAGAAGTCAGGGGGTCTCTTTGTTCACTGGTGTATTCCCAGTGCTTAAAATGGAAGGAATCTAGTAAATATTCATTAAATGAGTGAATAAATGTAAACCTGTTCCAAGAAAGTCCAAATCTATAGTTAATCTAAACGACCATGGCCCAAAAGTAGTTCCTGAGTCTTTAAAAGAAATTAAAATTCATCTTGTGGTATAATGACATTTGAGCTGCCCAAAGACACAGTAAGAACCTTGTCTATAAGGCACCAGCTCCTTCTAACAACCAAGTATTATTTGGCCCCCAAAATCTCATTTTCCTTCTTGCCCCATTTTACTAGGCTATAAAGTAATAGAGTAGAAAACATTTGATTTCCCTTGCCATTTCTTAGGTCTTAAGAATCCAACCTAGCAGGACCTAAGAGCATACATTATCAGTGATGTTGGAACTACTCGACTAAGTACCCAGGAGCAAAACATGTTCAGGAGCTGGGGATGTAATTCAGTAGGTGCATTTTGCCTAGCATGTGCAAAGTTCTTGGTTCAATCCTCAGCACACACACACACACACACACACACACACAAACACACACACACACACAAATAATAATAATAATAATGTCTAATCATAGTTTTTTTAACTAGGATGTAGAAAGGAGACGGATTAGATTTGCCTTTATAGAATTTTTTCTTTTTTAAATTTTGTTCTTTTTAGATATACATGACAGTGTTTTGACATATTATACATATATGGAGTTTAACTTATTCTAATTGAGAAAAGAATTTCTCTCTTCAAACATTCTTCTTTGAAGATAAAATTATATTAAACATCATCTTCTGAAGGAATTAATAGTATCTTGATCATCCTCATCATCATGATAATCATCTCCATCATCATCATCATCTTCTTCATCAGATTTTAAAGAAAAGAATAAGCAGCTGTGTTCATTCAGGTTGGGGACAGTTTGGCTTTAAGGCAGGGAATGGACTAGATAACTTCATTGGGCCCTTCCCTAGTTTAGCATGGCATCTTCATAATTATTTAATGTTTAATAATATCATGAAACAGTAGAGAGACACAGCAATATAATATAAAGTCTGAGAAGTGAATGTCTTTTACAAGTGTGTTATAGAAAATTGGACATTTGCTGGGAAAGCAGTTCATAGAGAAAACATAGGAGACCAAGACTTCAGGTCTCTGTGCCTATAATTTTGAATCACTGCCATAAAAAAGAAGTCTATTGATGTCTGGGGAAACTGAAAATGGTCATGGTAAATGGAAGTTGTATGGTTCATTTACTGCTATAAAGGATTCCATCAGCTCTTCTGTAGGTTATTATAACTACATTTGAAAAATGTGAATGTTAAAATAAGATTCAATAGCAACTGCCCGAAACAGGATTAAAAACTGTTATATGGCTTATCATTTTCTAAAATGCTGGTTAATATAATGATTTAGCAAAGAAATTTTAGTCAATTAAAGAGTTTGTTACAGGAAATTGTCATAAATCTCTGGGCTTGGTTTTGTTTCACAGTTTTTCACCTTTGAGCAGTACAAGAAATTGCTAGGATATGTGTCACTGTCACCAGCATTGGTAAGTGAGAGTATTTATTATACTTAAGTGTGTGTGTTATTTCATAAAGCAAAAATCTAGAAACAAAAACCCTTTTGATTTCCCCAAGCCCAGCTACTAAAATATGAATTCAAGTTATTCAATGTTCAGCTACTTGTTGAAAGCCATCTTCCTAATAACTCACAATTTGACTATTTTATAGCTCCCAGTGATGAATTTATGATAATAATAATGATATGCCTGGAAGGACCTATATGAGATATGGTCAAGAATATAAAATAAAGAGTACATTTATCAAAGACTCTTTTAAAACCAAAACATGCATATGTTTACATACATATGACACATATCTATTTATGTAAAAGTCAGTATGCCTGAAATTGCCTAACAGGTCACTATTCCAGCTATTGCTTAAGCTGTAGCCAATATGAGACTTCAAGTCACTCGGGACAAAATCACTCTGTGGTCAGGCACAGATTGAAGGGCCTTTTATAGAAATGGCTGTAAACAACTTAGCCAGGGTGAATAGTCATTTTATAACAACACACCTTAAATATTACATGAAATTCACTTGTTTTGATCATTTCCCTATGCCACTCCTCTCTATCTTGGTGATTTTGCTGCTTTTCCTACGCCAGTTAAATTATATTAGCCAAATGTGTGAGCACCAAGAGCCCCAGAGAGAGCAAATGCACTAATCTTTCCCTCAAAATCTGCAAAATAAAGTGCATTGTTGCTACAATTGGCAATGTACAGTCTATTCTTTAGGAAAATCCTCACTTGCCCAGTGAAATGTGCCTCAAAACTCAATAGAAGAGACAATGTTCTGAGGTTCAACTCTTCAATTATAGATGTTGCTTCACTTGTGATGGAGTTACATCAGATAAGCCCACCATAAGTTGAAAATATAATAAGTAAAAAATGAATTTAATACAACTAGCCTACCAATCATCATAGCTTAAAAACAAAGTAAACCATAGAACATTGGCTGTCTATACCTTCTTGAGGATATAGCTGATGGGGAGCCACAGCACATGGTCACCACCCAGCAAAATGAGAGAGTATAATACTTCATGTTGCTAGTCTAAGAAAAGATCAAAATTCAAAATATGGAATATGAATCATTTTTGCACAAAAGTAAAAATTCGTAGGTTGAACCATTGTATATCAAAGATCATCTATACTTTACTTGCAAAGTTTCATTTCAGAATATTTACTCTACCAAACAAACGATCCAAGAAGAAATTTTTGTTACTTTAAAAATGATACCTGCTTCCTTTCTAGAAGGGATCTCATTAAAAAATGTAAAGCTATTGCTATTTGTTATCACCAAGAAATCTCCTCTCCAACCTTCTGCCTGAACAAAGTGGCTGTGAAGCACACCCTCTTGGAAAGGAGGGGTCATGCCATGAATCTCAAAATTACATCAAGATTTTGTTTTTTTTTAATCCCTCAGTGTCTTCCCTTAATGTCATTTTTTGGCTTTGTAAACATGTTAGCCAAAAGAGGATTAAAGACTTCCTAGCAAAAGACAATAAAATATGGCCTCCAGAGGGCCAGCTGGCATTTTTGTGTTGAGCATTGGTTCCATGTGAGAGACTGCAGGTCTTTGACTTAAGAGTTGAAACAGTAAAGCAGTTGGCTACTCCAGCTACTATAATAAAATGCATGCAAAGCAAACTGTATACAGTTCTCTTTTCTTGAACTCATTTATTCTAGTTTCTTTTTTGATACAGCTAGGCACTTAGGTATTAAATATTCCCTGGTGCTCCCATGAAAAACCTAGGAGACTGGGAACCCAACAGTAAACTCAAGTCTCTGCAGCAACCTAAGTAATATGATCTGCTGGTATCTGATCAATTCTTTTGACAAGGGACTGCTGAACACTAGTTCTGACAGCAAATGTAGCCGAGCATTATATAAGAACCAAAAAGTGAATTACTTGGAAGATTGCATATAGTAAGTAATAAAAACCCTGAACATCTGGATTTTAGCTTTCCCAGTCAGAAGAGTTTGAGACTGGTATTTTCCCCCTGCTTTTGGCTTCCGTGATAGAAGTTTGAGATAAATGAATAAAGTATTTGGTCAGTTACCCTATACAAATTATGCTTAAAATTGTAATGAAGTGGGATAAAAGGAAAACATCATTAGTTATGCCTTGTCTCCTAGAATCTATATGCAATACCATTCTTCATCCCTTTTTATATGCAACAAGAACAATGGTGTTTGGAAGGCACTTTCAAGGAGCTTTTGCACATTGTTTTGACCCTCATAATAACTTTCTGAGGTATGATATTATTATCTTCATCTTACAGATGAGAAAGCTGTCTTATCAAAGATTTGATGATTCATAGGCAGCCCCAGCTAGCACACATGGTGCCTTTGTGTGAATCATGAAAAGGTGGCCCTACCTCCTGACTAATGTCTGTTCAGGGTCTGGCTTGGCAAGTAGAGTACAGGCTGTGTTTCAGCCTCCATGCACCCCATGGCTGAGCACTTTTATCTGTGTACAAACTACAGTCCATGGAAGCTGTAGTCATACAGCCAATGTGTGGCAGAACCAAATCCTTAACCCACTTTTACAGGTCTGGATCCAGCCCTTGTTCTACCTTATCTGCCCCTCTAACATTAGAGAATATTCCTTTTTCCCTTCTCTTTGAAGATATTAGAGACCCTTAATAAGAGTATATGTTCTTTACTCTTCATTGGTTTTATTCTTCTGTTGTATACGTGCCACTTCTTCTCCTGGAAGTAGAGGTTCTACAGCAAAGAATTACTTTTTGTCTGGCATCTATTTTGGAGACTAGAGGATTTGATTGATTTTGTTTCTGTATTTGTGTTTTTGTTTTCTGTAAGTGTGTTTTAATTTTCATGGTCATTTTTGATATAATTTTTTCTGGAAAACTCTTAACATTATATTTGGAAGAAAATTCCATAAAATTATTATTATTATTATTATTATTATTATTATTATTTCTGGAATTCTTTTTTATTTGTTCTAATTAGTTATACATGACAGTAGAATGAATTTTGACACATCATACGTAAATATAGTATTCTCATTCTTCTGGTTATACATAATGAAGAATCATACCAATTGTGTAATCACATATGTACACTGGGTAATAATGTCTAATTCATTCCCCTATCTTCCTACCCTGTACCCCTCCCCTTCCCTCACTCCCCTCTGCCTAATACAAAGTACCTGTATTTTAATTCACAGCAATTAGGAACCTGAAATATAAAAGAAGTATAAGGATCATGAAGAAGATAAAGACAGGAAGAAAGCATTAATCTAATGCCCACTGCATTTAAAGATGCTAATTAAAAAAAAAAAAAAAAAAAGTCCAATGACAATTTTTTTTGATAAATGTTCTAGATTTTAGTTGGGCCCTTCAGAACAACTTAGCTATTTTTTATCTTAGCTTTTATTCTCAGCTTTAAGTCCAGAGAAATAGAGCAATCATCAGTTTTATTTTGTTTTAAATAGAGAAAGTGAATAAAAATTAATTTTTGTTTATTAACAGTCTAAAATAGTGACTCTAGGAACATGACTATATATTTGAATGTTTCCAGCTACCTGGAATTTAGCTTTTTATAAACATTTTATTTGTGGTTCTGCTCCTTAGATTTCTTCATATGCTCAATAAAAGTACTTAAATAGATGTTTAAAAAATGAAGCTCTCCTTTTACAATTTAAACTCTCTTTAACTGTTATAAATGCAGATGTTTTTAGTATCCACCCCAAATCAGTAAAATAATCTTGCCTTTTGTTAAAGGAAAAAGTCATTGTTGATGGGGCTTTGACATTTTATTTTGAAATTGTTAGGATGTGGTTTGTGGCTTCTGTAATTTCTTCTTCATGAATTGTCAGCATCTAATCAAGAACTAAAGCTGTTTAGTAATGGTATATGGTACACTTACATAGGCTTCTCCATTCTCATCATAACATAGCTGCATAGTATAATGAATAGGATACCTAACCTAGTACACATGATCACTTGTTTTAAAGAATTGATGGATTTAATTTTTCTAGACATTTGCCATTGCTGGATTGGGATCTGGACTAACAGAAGCCATCGTGGTTAACCCTTTTGAGGTAGTAAAAGTTGGCTTGCAAGCTAATCGGAACACATTCACAGAGGTAACCATTTTAATGTTTTCCTACTGTTAAGAAATGTAAAATCTTATTTTTAAGTATACATAATAAATTATGGGTCCACCTCTTATCCACTTATTAAAGCTATAGTTAATCATTGTTAAGAAAGTAGTATATAAAAAATTCAAATATCTTCCACAAGGAAAGTGTTAACAAAATGCACTAAGATCTGATAGACAAACACATACTTATGTTTTTATTTTAGAGCTCGAATGTAATCTAAAATGACTTATTTAGAAATGTTTTTCTGACATTTGGCAAAACTTCTCTTTCATATTACACTAGAATAGACTAAAGCAGAACCATTGAGATGATAATACTATTGTGCTTTTAAAAATCAAAGTCATTCTTCAGAATTACCTTACTCCTTTCCCCACTCCACCTACCACCCTCACCAAAAGATTCTGATAATCTGTCAAAGTTGTCTTTGGGTTAAATCTAAGTGAGTAACCTACTAAGCCTGTGCAGATGTCACCACCTGAACAATGATGGGTCTTAACATGTAATCATTGGTACATGATGTTCCAAGTAAACAGCTTTCTTTGGTGTGTGCTGCCTTTACTTTCTTCTAGTTGCCTAATAATTCCCTTTAAAACACCAAGTCCAACTGTTCTTGTTTTGTTCTTTTGGTCCCAGGCACTAAGTGAGAGAAAACAAGGGAATTGGCATTCCAGGTCCTTTCTAAGCATTTTAATTTAATTCCACAACTGGGTAGCATGTGATATAAATTGGTTTGGAATATTTGCTAACCTGGATTTTTCTGTAGAAAAGTTTTCCTGCCTACTGCTTAAACAGCTGCTAATGGGTGGAGAACCCCTCAACCCCAACCCATTTCCTGCTTGCTGGATACTGCCTCAGAGGCTCCTGACAGCTTCTTGGGGAGGGATGTGGGAAAGAAAGGGGCCCCACTCACCTGTTGCTGCCAAGGCCTAGGCAAGGGAGGATAGGACAGGGTTGGGCTGCTACAGCAGATGTATCTACTCAGAGGAAGTCAATCCTAATTCAAGGAGAATTTTTTAAGTTTCAAAAGGTTTACAAAACCTCAGAAAAGTTGAAAATCTTTGTATGCCCCTAGCTTTTGTTTATGTTCTACTATCTCTATATTCTTTCTTGAATTAGGAGAAAATATGGTGAGATATAGGAAGAAAAGAAAGAAAGAAATGTTTTTCAGATATCCCATCAATATGGAGCATTTAATACAGTTCCCATGGAATCTGGGGGAGGAAAACTTGGTTTATTAGATTGAGAGAATTACCAGAAAGAAGAAAAATTTGGAGATCCCCATTCAGTGCCTCATTTTACCCATTGTCTTAGAGTAATAACAAGTGAGAAAAGGCATAAACAGGCTTTCAGTCGCAGGTTTTTCTTTTTTCCATCTAGATAACATGTAACTACAGGGATGCAAATGGAGAGAGCATCAAGGAACACTCACAGCTATTAAAATAATAAGTTTCACAGCACCTGTGCTCATGCCTAATGTTCTTTTTCTCTCTTCTGCTCCCAAGGAGGTTCTACACTGAGCCCAAGTAAGAGCTGCTAATGTTGCATGTGCTAACACCTTGCTAGAACATGATAAACACTATGCCAGCCTGACACAAGAAATTGCTGCATGCATATGTGTTCCCAGTCTATTTACACAGTGCAATCTATATAAATTATTTATGTATTTCAGTTTATTAATAAGCAGGGGATACAGGGAGCTTGCTTGGGGTAATTTCAATTGTAGAATCCACTTAACTGGACATTAATGTTAGGTATTTTCTCAGAATAAAATCTATTAGATATATTATAAAATATTTTAATATTACTTCAACTAATGATAACTTAGCAAAATAGTGATCACATCGATCATACATTTCAGTGTTTATTTACAGCAACTATCAAAATTCAGTGGCTGAACTGAGGTTTTTGTTTCAATATGATCCTTCAGAGGCAGTAGAGATCAAACTAAAAAAAATAGTTAGCAGAGAGTGGTCACCCAACATAAATAATGGAACTATACCTACTGCAAAAAAATGTTTGAGAAAAAGAGGTAACATAATGAGAACAGAAACTTTGAATATAGTTGTTTACAAAAAAATTTTCAGGTCATTTTGGCACTGTTTCATAGATCTTTTGTCCATGACCCATTAATGCCCAAAGCCTTCCTTCATTGACTAGCACTTTCTTTATCCAACAAGGGGTACCCTTTATGAACCTGTACCTATGTTGATTTAATTCACATATTAAATGTACTTACTTCAGCATTTTTATAGCTAAGAATAACTATGTTTCCTTCATTCTAAGGCTTTGTAGGTTGTGAAATGTAAAAGAAGTGTAAGGATCATAAAGAAGATAAAGACAGGAAGAAAGCATCAATTTAATGCCCCCTGCATTTAAAGACTCTAATTAAAAAAAAAAGTCCAATGATAAAGGTAATGCAGATTTAAGTTAGAAAACACCAAAAATCTATATGTTCTCTATATACATGTGAATATGTAAAAGCCCAAAGTGATCTAGACTCTAGAGCAGTGATGGTTCAATAAAATTAAATGTGCACCACCTTTTCTGTTAGCTAGGTGAAAAAAATTAAAAGAAACAGGTGAAATTAATTTGATAATGTATTTTACTTCACCCAATATATCCAAAATATTTTTTCTTTAAGACTTAATCATTTAGAACAAGTCTAGATTTGTGGCAAAATTGAAAAAAGATACAGAAATTTTTCACAAACCTGTTTCCCCTGCATATGTATAGCTTTCCCCAGTGTCATTATCCAACCTTAGTATATTTGGTACAATTGATAAACATACATTAAGACCATTATCACCCAAAACCCACAGTTTACATTAGGGTCCACTCTTGGCATTGTACATTTTATAGGTTTGGACAAATTTATGATATGTATCCACCATTAAAGTATCATGCAAAATGGTTTCACTCCTAAAATCCTCTATGGTGTACATATTCATCCCTTTCTCCCAACCCCTTAATCCCTGGCAACCACTGATATTTTTATAGTCTCCTTAATTTACATTCCAACATGTAATCAATACAGAAACTATATAAATTTTTTCTATGCTAAATTTTGAATTTAGCATGTACTTTATGCTTATAGCACATCTCAACTAGGGTATGTCAAGTGCTCAATAGCCATATATGACAGTGTAAGGAATTCAAACTAAACTTCTAACTGTAGTCACCTCTAAGGAGGAGATTGGAATGGGTGAGGGAAGGTAAGAGTTTAAAGAAAGGGTTTTTTTGTATGTTTGAATGTCTTACCATGAGATGTATTATCTGGGAACACTTGCTTTAAAAAGTAAGACCTGCTCATTGTAGAAAAAGTAGAAAACACAGAACAGTATAAAGTATATAATCCAGAAGAAATGCTTCTAATGACTCTGCTAGAGTCAAACCCCAACTTTTGGGAAACCTTCTCAGCTGACTAGGTGGGAATGACTAGTTGGCTCATTTTGGGTCTCAACCTTGCATCATTCAGGTTCCGTAATTCCATGACTTTATTTATAATAATAGTAATACCACTTTTGGTAATTTCTAACAAAGTTCAAACCTTGTGAGAAAATTATTGAAGGACATATATAATCAGAGCTGTCAAGAACAGAAGGCAAGTGGAGGATGGGCAAAGTAGGCCCAAGTTCCCATAATGCTTTTCACCATTTCCTCATAGCCTGTTTTTTGTTTTGTTTTGATTTGTTTGTTTGTTTGTTTTTACTGGGGATTGAACCCAGGGGCACTTAACCACTGAACCATATCCCCAGCCCTTTTTAAAATATTTTGTTTAGAGACAGGGTCTCACTAAATTGCTTAGGGTGCTAAGGTTGGTTTTGAATTCATCCTCTGGGATAACAGATATGCACCACTACTCTCAGCCACAGTATGGTCTTGAAATACTTGCACTTCCCTCACTGGTAAACCAGCAGTGATCAGTCCATCTTCCCTATAGCAAGACATTTATGTGTACCGTTTAGAACAAACCCTGAAGGGATATTGCAATTAGTTATGTGATGGCTTCATATTTCCTGCCTTGACTGTAATCCGGTTTCCTCATTTGTTAAAGAAGAATAATAGTATAGTGGAGATTAAATGAGACATATATGTAAAGATGTCAGTACAGTCTGATGTATAGTGATTGTTTTAAAAATGTTACTAGTTATTATTCCAGCATGCTATTTACAAGAATTCAAATGTGATAATGTATGTAAATGTCTTTTTTATTGATTTTATTTTTTTAATACACGACAGCGGAATGCATTACGATTCTTATTACACATATATACCACAATTTTTCATATCTCTGTTTGTATATAAAGTATGTTGACACCCAATTCGTGTCTCTATACATGTACTTTGGATAATGATGTCCATCACATTCCACCATCCTTTCTTGTATGTAAATGTCTTAACACAGAATAGTAAGTATTCAACCAGTAAGAACTATTTCTAAATGCAAGTTGATTTTTTAAATCCTTAAGCTTGGAACTGGGATAGTAGTTAGTACTTGCCTAGCCTGTGTGAGGCACTGGGTTTGATTCTCAGCACCCCATATAAATAAAGGGCCATTGACAGTTGAGAGCGGTGGCACACACCTGTCATCTCAGCTGCTCAGGAGGGTGAGACAGGAGGATCGCAAGTTCAAAGCCAGCCTTAGCAATGGCGAGCACTTAGCAACTCAATGAGATCCTGTCTCTAAAAAAAAGTACAAAATAGGGCTGGGGATGTGGTTCAGTGGTTGAGTGCCCCTGAGTTCAATCCCCAGTACCCCCCCCCAAAAAAAAAATCCAAGTTCCAAATTGGATATCCACAAGTAAAAAAATAAAAAGATTTTTTTTAAAAAAGGACCATTGACAACTAAAAAACATAAATTAAATTCTTATGCTTAAGTAGAGGCAGATTTATCTTGAGATATTGCTCCAATTAATATTGAGCAGTCACATCTGACTTCAGTGGTGGGAACAGATATAGATCACAGAGTGGTGGCCAGTCCT